CTAAAAAGTAAAGCCGAAAACGCGCTCTGAATTACAGAACATTTGAACTGTTTCTACATTTTTTCTGTGTCTAGAAAAGAAAGCATTGGTTCAAACACAAGAAAAAATGAATGAAAAGCTCTGTCGTAATACTTTGTCGGTCGTTTTTAATGAAACATGCATAAATGAAGGATTGCTGCCTAAATATACAATATATATATATATATATATATATATATATATATATATATATATATATATATATGTGCGTGTGTATGTGTGTGTGTGGATACTGAGAACAACACCGATCCGAGCTCAATCTTCAGTAATGATAATTGCATTCAACCATGAAACACACTGTCACTTTTCTGTGTTGACCCCAGTGTCCACTTTTATATTTTCATGCGATCTATTCCTTAGATTAGCACATTTACCCATAAATTTGACATACCTTAAAATGTTATTCTTCGCGCGCACACACACACACACACACACACACACACACACACACACACACACACACACACACACATGTTCACTCCCACCCATATATATATATATATATATATATATATATATATATATATATATACCTCTTTTATGAAAGATTTCAAATGGCATTATTAGAAACCTACTGTAGCCTTTGAAATTTCTCATTCGATTAGTCCTCTTTAAGCCTTGACAGATCTCTGTCCTATTAGGGGATTTCATTTTTTACTATAATTGATATATTTTCAAACTTGAAATCTAGCAAAATAATTGTTTCGCAAAAAAGTTAAGCATCCTTAAATTCAATCAATCTTCTTAACAATGTCGAAACAGAAAACAGCCGTGAATTTCTTCTAAAAATATTTTGTCCAATCATGTTCAATTTCAATAGTCAAATTCATCTGGACAATGAGAATAAGGCTTTTTATAAGTTTATTTATTCTCTTCGTTGCCTAGTAATAAAATACGATATTAATTCTAAAACTTGGTATGGTATTATATGTTCCTAAGAGAATCCAGTATTTATAAGTTTCTTCAAAGTCGGAAATTAATAATAGCTTTGTAAAGATCCGGTATTAATTAGAGTTTTCTATCTCTAACACCTACCTAAATTCTATCTACCAACCTCCTAAAATAGACCTTAGTTATTATTAGTTTAATAAATTATATTGTGCAGAATAAACGTTAGATTTTATTTCCCCTCTAAGCTGCTTATATTACAATAATTCAGTGTAAGCTATGAAATGGAAGTTACAAGAAATATTTATATATTCACTGGATATAACCAAGAAAATTTAACTGTTTACCTATTTTACGACGAATCCTAATAATTTAATAAGCTCATGGCAAGATTTCCGACAATAAAATATCAAGATAAATTACGCCATTACATGGGTTAAATATTTGGCCCTAACAACTTTAATAAAATATTACAATATCAATCATGAATAGGAATGCTGATCATTATGTTTTTAAAAAAGTGAGTACAAGCGAAATGATTTAAACTTTTCCATTTCACACAAAATGACGTTAAATCCAGTACCTTGCTATTATTTCTTCTACCCTCTTTTCATTATTTTATTTATTTTCTCAATGAGACCACGGGATGTCTGTAATATATCTTTTCCATCTTTCCACGCGATTAAATCGTAATAGTCCATGATTTATCAGGTACTGGCAGGCGACGTTAAACACTTTTATCTCCTCACATTTCTTTCTTTTTTTCATTTCCTCACTGAATTCAAGTAGTATCTCTGATATGTTTTTCCGACATTTTATGCGATCAAAACGGAATAGTCCATTATTTTTTAAGTATTGTTAGGCGTAACGTACATGTTAACTAAAGAGCTCATGGCGGGACTATCATCATGGAATTTTTGTTATTTTAAGAACTATCTGTGTCATCATTGGTTGGTTAATTACTTTATTAATTGATGAATTAATATCTTGCGGAAAAAGTAAGTTAAATAATTATTGCGAGAATAAATTACATTCGGCTAGCATGATTTCTGATTTCCGAATGTGTTTGAGTCTGAGTTCTGAAGTGGAAATTGTCTCATCTAGCTATGTCGTTAGGGACCCAGTGATTTAAGGGTTGTAGAATAGGGGCCTGTGCGCCATGAATTATTTGTATCAAATAAATATACCCTAAGATAACCTCGAGACCGAGTTTGAGGGCCCCGATGACCTAGTGGAATTGTTCAAGTGATTTGTGGCATGCTATCGACTCAGTGAGGGAGATACCTTTGTAACCATGGTAGAACTAGTAATGGAGTATTTAGGAGATGCTAAGCGGGCGCTGAGCGGGTGTACTTGTTTTCTCCACGTGGCAGGCAGGGGTAGAAGAATTTTAAATAATGCGATCTGAGTTTTAAGAAATTAATGGTGGTAAAAAATTGTGAAGATCTGTTTTAATTAATTCTGGTAATAAGAAAAAAAGAGAGTAATTAATTGGTTGTTTGAATAAATAGGGTGAAATTGGACCATGTGCGCTGAGTGGGAGAGGAATGTAGATCATAGCTTATTTAACGTGTATAAATTAGGTGGCAAGGAAATGGTTCAGTTATGGAATTGTTTGACACTGTGGCGTGAGGCCTTTGTGTGTTTTTTTGGAACAGTATATTTGTTTTTCAATGAATTGTATGTAAATTCCGTGTAGTCTCAAGTGAAGGGGCAAAAAATTGTTGTTCTCCCCAGGAATATGGGATTGCAGAGGTGGTAGTTGCTGAACTGAATGTAGATGATATGGGAGAGGTCAAAGTTCACTGTTGGAGGACTTCTATCCAGACTGGCGTCTGAGCCGTCGATCTTAAGTCACTGAAGCTAATGATCGAAATGGACAAAGGATTGTCCGATATTCATTTTTTGTTTAAAAAAAAAATCTGTGAAACGTGAAAAACTGGTCAGAATTTTGTTGTTTATGTTGAATCTTTTTCAGGAATTGTTTATGTACATGCTGGAGTTGTCATGTGATGTAAACAAATTGTAAGGAGCACGCCTTGTATACAAGAAATTATTGAGGGTATTTTACAGTAAACAGATGAAATAAATATTTATTTGATGGTTGGTAAGGAATGTTAAATAATAAATTCAGTTTATTATTTTTTAGTGGCAGTGTATTTGGCTCATAACTTCTGAGGCTGACCTTAATGTCAGATGGTAGACAAAACAAAGGAAGTCGATTTTGATTGATAAATCTAGTGATGTTAGAGTGATAGAAATGGATTTCAGGAAGTTTTTACAAGTCATACACAGTAAACGTAGTTATTACATGTGCCAGGGAACTTGCTCCCCAGTGGGGATGATAGAGCGACCCAATGGCTAGTGAAAATGTCCAAGGTCGACGTCTTTAATAAAAGAAAGACTTATAAAGTTTTAAATACCTTTTTTTTTAACTCCGAACTAAAAACAACAAGCGATCAGCCGGCCGAAAGCAGATAGAGTGGAAGACAGCATTAATATGATAGCCTCAAGACTGTCAACCAAAGCTCCTTCTAGCAATGAAGAGTATTCAACATTGATCAGAAGAGTTTTGATTCAATCAAGACAAATTAACTAAAACTGAGAAATCCAAATTGTAGGTGCGATTAGAAGAATCTACTCCCGCATACTAAATAAAGGTTTCGGTTCGAAATTACACCACATATCACCGTAAATGTGGCAGTAAATATGAGGATAACATTCCGAACAAAGTAAGTAGTGCAAATATTAGCGTCGTATTTTCTTCTCCATTGTGTTTTTACTACTGTTCACCAACTACACGACCCAAGAGACGCTCAAAGTAGAGCGTCATGTTTAATGAGCGGAAGAGGAAGAACTATGAAGTGAAGATTACGAAAGTATGGTGGGTTGGTGACAAATGATCCGGAGATATGACGTCGCAACGTCTGTAGTGTCCTGGGAAGCAGACAGGATTTTTAAAATGAGCAGTTCTTCGTAAGAAGCTTCCAACATGGAACATCCTTCTTAGAAATAGGAATACGTAGGGGATTAGTGCGGATTAAAACCCTGTACTTACCATGGTGCCTCTATCTTGGTTTAAGCTGGTAGCACGAAAGAATCGAGCACGTCTTAACATTGGCCGTGAAGGTAGTGACCTTTGGGTAAATATCATGCAATATTGGTTGGTTTTAATTTTTACTGACAGTCTTGAAGACATTGAGTGATTTGATAAACTCTGAAAGTAATGGCTTCCACCCGACTGATGTTAGGTATCATTATTCAGTTCTCTGGAGATTACCCTGTAGGGTGATTTGAACGGAAGCGATTGCACCAAAGCCAGTCTGAAGAATTTATGGTTTCCTGAATTGTTCCCCAAAGTATAGCATATTCAATGAGAATGGTCTCAAGGTAACCAAACATAAATTTCTTCATTTTCTGCATAAACCTAACTTCTGAGATGCAATTTTGTCATAAATAAGAGATGAGGAAATATATTCAATCCTCGCAATTATTACCAATATGACCGGGCATGATCTGAGGTTCTGCGGCGCCATAGAACAACTGAGTATCAGCCCAGTTCACACAACATCTAGGTTTTAAAAAAAGATAAAGCTATTCAGTCATTTTGGTAAGTAGAGCTGCCGTAGCCCATTCCTCTCCATATAAAAGTACAACAGAAATTCTTCAATCTGAAGTCTCAGCTGAGTCAATTTGCCTGTTGTTTCCATCAGCAAAACCCTATAACAGAGCCGTTAAAAAATCCTCTTGAATATTTCTACAATTTTGCAATTTTTAATATTATGTCTAAGTAATGCATTCGCCATTCAATTTTCCGCCCGTCCTCAAGCATACAACAGAGTGTCAGAGTAGACAATGGCTAAAATGAAAAATGATATTTTTTTCCAGGATTGCGTCGTGCAGGCCCTGAAAGTTATATATATATATATATATATATATATATATATATATATATATATATATATATATATATATATATATATATATATATCGGTCTTAGCACTGTCGCGCTAATCGCATTAATCAGCGCTGGCTGAAATTCTTTAAATTGTAATCTTTAAGAACATATTCTT